CCTAGAAATGCTGTTCAAAGTGTGGAAGACCCAATTCTAACTATAGACTCTCGGTTACCATTCATCAAGCATTATCTTTGTGCCAAGCCCACTGGAGGGCGCCATATACTTCCACTCGATACTTCACAATCTTGAGCAGTAATTAATATGGTCCCTTATTTACATAGTTGACCCCTGGACAACATGGGTTTACCTATGTGGGCCCACTTATACGCAGATTGTTTTCAGTAAATTCTGTAAATATATTTTTTCCTTATGATTTTCTTAACATTTCTTTCCCTTAGCTTACTTAATTGTAAGACTATAGTATGCAATACACATGACATACAAAATATGTGTTAACCAACCGTTTATGTTATCAGTAAGGCTTCTGGTCAACAGTAGGCTATTAGTAGTTATGTTTTCAGGGACTCAAAAATTACATAAGGATTTTTAACTGTGCAAAGGGTTGGTACCTCTACTCCCCACATTGTTTAAGGGTCAACTGTACTTGAGAAAATTAAGAATGCGACAGTTTGCTGGAGACTCCAGCTGGTCGGGAGCAAGAGTCAAAGCCAGGCTTTTCCATGCTGTCATGGAGGCTCCTTGACAAAGACTGAATAGAATTGTGGGGGGAAAGTAAAGTCATGATGGGGAACTGCAAGTAAATTAATAATGTTTATGAAACAACAGAAAAAACAGAGGACTGAACAAAACCAACATTTTCAACATAAATAGTTTCTTCCTATTGAATCTAGAAATCAAGTTATTTTGATAATCTCCCATTAAATTAGATGATAGGCAAACAAAAACTTGGGAGAACAGATGTTTCACTAATAATGAAAGTAGTTAGGGAAAGGCATCATGTAACCATGGCAGCCAGGTGGGCATTAGCCCCACACCCTGGAAAGAGGTTGTACTCACAGGGTTCGTTAAAAACACTTACAATTGGTGCACACCAAAATCATTTTTAAAATTGTTTATTGACTTTAGAGAGAGAGAGGAAGGGAGAGAGAGAGTGAGAACATCAATTTGTTGTCCCACTTAGTTATGCATTCATTGGTTGATTCTTGTACATGTCTCCACTGGGGGCCTAACCCAAAACCTTGGCATATGGGGACAATGCTCTAACCAACTGAGCCACCCAGCCAGAGCCGAAAAACCTTTTTTGTATGTTAGTTATCCAGGCAGCAAGAGAAATGTAGAAATACAGAGGAAAAAAGAAAGTTTGCACCTCAAACCCTGAGCCAAGACCTAGGAATAAGGACTTGAACTGTCAGAGGAGATGGTGTGTAGAGATAAAGGATTTCACAGGAATTTTACAATGCACAAGGTAAGTGCTACGTTTATGCACACGCACTGCGGCCAGATGAATGTGACCGTTAACACTGTCAGGCAGATTGTGAGAGGGAGTTCAGAGCCGCCTCCAGCCATCCGGTAGAAAGGGAGATCTGGTGCCTCAGTTTCCACATCGATTGCAAATAAAGATATGGCACTTTCTTTGCATTCATGTGTTCGGTGCGTACCTGTTGAAGGGTGAAGGTAAAAAGAAATAAAGAATGGCTAATCTGATGTTTGAGTAAATCTGCTGTGGAACTGAAAAGGAGAGATCTTTTCACTTTGGCTGCCTGTCTATGGGGGAAAGCAAAAGCAAAAACAAAAAATCCTATGAGACTGCAATTATACTCATCCTTTAGAATTTATTGAGCACTGTACTACACACTTAGAAACACTATAAAAGAGCTTCTAATTTAATTGGCTCCCAGAAGCCAGCTGTCAGTGAGGCCCGCACTTGCATTCTGACCCTGCTGCAGGAAGTGCTTCCTATCAGCAGGAAATTTATAACTTGCATTCTAACCCTGCTGCCGGGCCTGCATCCACCAGTTTACTCCCAGTCGGGGACGGCACTCCAGGTGGGGTCTTTGTGTGTGCTTCCTCAACATTCTGCAAACATTCTGCCTGGCACCTAGCAGGTGCCCAGGAGAGTCACGTGGAGTTGGGAGGCCTGTCTTTGTGAGAGTAAGCCTACCCTGTGGGCTTACCACAGGCACCACCCAGAACATCTGCCCTGCCCGTCTCCCACTCTGTCTTGTGACACATGCCCCATTTCAGGTCTCGTTGCCTCCACAGGCTCTCACCCTTCCAACCCTACTGACGCTTCCGTCTTGGCTTTTCAGTGGCCCTGTCTGCAGGGCCAGGGTTCAAGGGCATGGCTCACGAGTGGTAGAAGCTGGAGGGGAAAACTACAGGAGGATATGTGATCCTGTCTAGTCTCAGAAAATGACCCAGAGTTCTGCTGAGTCAACACTATTTTATATGTCACACATGTGAATATATAATAGTGTCCTTCAGTCTGTAACCCAGGCCGATCATGGTTTGTGATTCTACCACTCACAATAGGCCTGGAAGTTGTGTTTGAGGATTTGCACCATTTCCCACTGGTAGAGAGCCAGGACGGTCCTTCTGACACCTCTGCATCTCAGCTTTTTCGTACTCTCTCTCAAGTTGAGCTTCAGGACTAGGATTTGGAATGTGATGTTCATTGGCCAGAAATGACTCCTCATATGCTTAAGAGGATAAGTCCCAGATACCAAGAAGACCAGTTTAGGGAGCTGTGTGTGCCTCTGTGTGCATCCCAACACACTGCGGCAGACTGACACGCTGATTGTTACCATCACATTGTTTTTGTGTTACCTGTCTTGGCATTGCTTCGTGCAAGGAGGCTGCCTCGTAAACAGTTCGCTATGGAATAAAGAGTGTTCACCTTTATCTTGCCCTCATCAGAGGCCTGATGGGCATGTGCAGTGTCTGGTATAACTGGGTTCCGTTGGCACGGATACCAGACCTCAACTGTGTCAGCTAAACTTCCAGATTCCAGGGACATCTGAAGGAAAGACTCTGGCAAGGATGGGGTGGGTGGAGGGACAGATAAAAGTTGATCTTTTCTATTTTTCTAAGACTCTGCCCTGCTATGTGGGTGGGAAGATAGCATCAACCATACCATTATGCAATATTGTTTACTTTCAAATAATCAACCAATGATAGAAGACTGGTGACCACCAGGCAAGCTTGGTGTAGAAGACTGTAAAAGACTACGGTGACCACCTGGCAAGCTTGGAAACAATTTATCCACATGGAATGCCCAGAGCAGAATGGGAGGGGGTAGGTGTCAGAAGAATCCAGTTATCATTTTGCTTCTATCACAGAGTCTCCTGGGGATCTGTGCTATTCTCAAACTCTAAGCTACATATGAAATGAGGAGATTGGATCGGCTCTCATCAAAGCCCCTTGAAGACTAGCCTCCGGGAGCTCTGATGTGTTGCCATCTCTGATTCAATGGACCATCCACCGAAATTTGCCATGGCCAGCACTTCTGGTTGACGATATTTTACCCAAGTTCGGAAGTGTTCAGGACCTGAAAATTCTCTCCTGCGCTTGGGCACCCCTGGCTTTCCAAGAAGGTTGTGCTCCCATCCTGCTGCAGTGAATGACATTCACTATCAGTCACCTCAGCTACCTGTCAGTGTGGTTACTTCACTGCTGTATCCAGTGTTGTAATAGGCAGTTAGACAAGAGCAAAGTAGGAAGACAGGCCAGGTGCAGAGTCACCGGGGAGGAGAGCCCCGGGGCACCTAGCAACAGACAAAGCCACAAGCCCTTGCAGGACCACTCATTAACCCCTGGAAGATGACATCTAGGCCTCAGCTGTGTTTCAGCTCCAGGCCCAGAAAAGCAGCAACACCAGGTGGGTGATGGCATGGCTCACATCAGGACCAGCTGCATTGACCAAAGACCCCCTGTTGTGGCTCCAACCAATCAGTAGGGACCAAGACCCTCAGGATGGAGGGCCCAGCAAGGCTCTCTTTAGAGCAAGCCTGTGCCTTTCCCTACCTACTTCTTTCTCCAGGGTGCTGTGTAACTCTCTCTCTCTCTCTCTCCCCCCTCCCCTTCCCTTTCTCTCTCTCCCCTAAGCTCCAAGGGTCCTTCTGTCCCTATAACTTGTTTCCTGAGCCCATTTCTTCTATGGCTCATTTCTACCTCTGTGACTTTCTAAATAAACTTTCTCATAATTTGAGTCTTGGCTCTGAATTCTTCTCTTAGCCAGAACTCAAGAACTGAGGTTGCTGAACTGAGGTTAACACCTGGTGCCATTTTTCTGCCACTAAGAGTTCGACTAGAAATCAGCTTGACACAGGCGTGGTAACATTCCATGGTTTCAGTATGTTAAATAAATCTTAAAACTTTCATGTTCTGGCCTCTTGCTGAGTGTTCTTTCTGCATGTTGCACCTGTTCGCCTTGCACTGAACAGTCCAGATGAGCAGGGAACACACCATGATGATGGCAAGGTGAACACACTAAGTTTTCTTTTAAATAGGAAAAAATGCAGGTGACATTTGGAGAATGAAAATTGAGCCATCTTTCTCAAGGTGAAAAAGTAAAAATAAAATAAAAGATGAAAGGGAAACCAGCACGTTTACAAAGCACATTTAATTATACTTCATTAATCTGTAAAGAGCTAAACTTGCAAACTCTTAGACAACTCTTTCCATTCGAACCACATAGCCCTATAAAACCATGACTTAAACATGTATTTCCGCCTCATTAAAAGAAGACAAAGACTGCAACTCATCTATCCATCCACTCCCACTCTCTAGTACAAACCAAAGAATGGACCTGCTTTTGGGGGAATCAGTTTGAGGGTTGGCAGGAACCAAATAAAGGGCCATATTCGGAGACTCACTATTCTAAAAGAAAGTCTTTGTTTCTCTACCTGTCGCTGAGGTATGTAAAGGATACATGAAATATGTGCACTTTCTCAAAATCTCTCTTGAGTAAAGATCTCCTCTTGGTTCCAGAGAGGTTATTTCAAATATATGTACAGGAAGCTTTGAGAGACATAATTCTTCAGGCAACAATGCTCCAAAAAATGAGCTACTTTTCAAGCATTTCAAATTCAAAGACAAGAGAAAACAGTATGTAAAATGGATTTTATTTAACATACATGTATAAAATTAGTTGAACTGACAGATCTATGTTGAGTAAAACTTTCTAAATACATCATACAAAACAGAGGATTGGCAACTATCATTTCTTATACGCTTCTTGTCTATAATAAGAGTTCTGCCATTGGCATAAATCTGATATTGTAGCAAAACATTTTTTTCTATCTGATGGTAGTAATATGAAACAGAAAATGGAAAAATAAAAAAATCTGTCCTTATTGTGAAAAATTAATATTTCGAACAACAAAGGCTTTCATATTTGCTTATCCCTAGAAACATATCTAGCAGAACAAAAGTCTGGAATATTCAATATACACACAATCACTATGTTAATTTATGTTTCAGGAACCAACCTTCTGGCAGGAAATGACACGTGACTCCTCCCTGACGCCCCCACAAGAGTTACTCACATGAGGGTTTGGCTAAAGTCTGTTGACACTCCCTTGACATGTCTGCTCTCCACCCTCACAATGACAGGCCTTTGAGAGATTTAGGACCACAGCTAGTTTCCTAATAGAGCTCCTTCTCCTGTCTTGCCTCACACCCCATCCTTCGTACTTTTGGGAGTTACCTTTCTGAACTCCAAACCTCCATTGCCTGTTCATAAGGTCCACACTTCTTGGTATACATAAGACTTGCGCCACCTGACCGTGGCTTTCCTTCCCGACGTCTCCCATTGCCCTTGCCCTGCTCTACCCACTGAACCACGTCCGCTTGCCCAAATGCCCCATGCCGGTTTCGTGCTTTCCGTCAACTAATAGTAGAGACACGTTGTGCGGAGTCTCCATGCGTTTGTTCATGCTGTCCCCATTGTGTAGAATGTTCTGCCCAAATGTGTCCCCTGAAAAAAACCCTCATTTTTCTGACTCTCAATACACAGTCCCTGTAATTTTGGCCTGACCGGTTAAAACTAACCACTTTGTCTATGCTTTCCATCAATACTACTGTGTAAAGTCTTAATACTTCTACATCCATGCGGCCATAAACTTTGATGAAAAGGTCCCTAACACCTGACTCTTGCATTATTTCATCTTAGCCCCAGGAGTCCTATTTGGCCTGCACCTGGGTGTGGCAAAGAACAAAATAAGGAACAAAAAACTGCACTGGGAACTACTTGATTACTGTTTCACAGGTTAGCAGTTTAGAAATGGGAGAGACTTGCAGGATCGTAAGTATGAATCTTAACTGACGGTGCCGTCTTGAAATTCATTTCAAGACACATTCATGGCTCAGGATTTCTCCCACAACCACCGCATTCAGGGATATTGGCATTTTTTCCCTAAAAACTCTCCTTTTCTCCTAAGTTCAACAAATTCTAGTGTTGTGGAATGTTTAGTAAATAAAACCTTCCTCCAGTTCTCTCTTCCCCTAAGTAGTGAAACAACACATCAGTGTGATAAGACCACCTCTAACTATTTCTCACCTTAATGCTAGCATCGCCTCCTTCACAGGGATTTCTCTGAGAATTTAATGTCTTCTTCCCATAGCACGGCACACACTTCAATATGGGTCATTAAAAATGATTAATTGTAGAGCATGAACTTGAAAGCAGGTCAGTGCCTGGCATACAGTGAGCATTCAAACAAATGATGAGTTGAATCTTGTTTTAAGGATATGAAGTGAGTGAAGACTAATTATGTTCATTCCAATCTTAAGTACTTCCCTGGGCATTTAATGAGGGATTATCTTTGAACACAGATTTAATATCACAAGTGGTTTTTACCACCTGCAATACTAAAGTCTGCAAAAGGTGTTAATTATTTATGAGGATACCATATTTTTAAAAAATAAATTTAAATAATTGCTACAAGGATAATACATGTCAGTGAAAAAAAACACCAATACAATTGATTTCTTGTTGTGGTTGCTTTTATGCATACATAATTCAAATAATTTTAAGTGGTTGGAATAGGCCCACAGAACAACTTTATTCTGTGGTGTTGCCATTTCATGTTTTAATTATTTAAAATACTGAAATGATTAAACACAAAATTAAACAAATGAATTTGTTCTGGGTAAATGAGTGGAGAGAAAATATCAGTTACTAAAATCTACTCCTAAACTTGTTCTGTCAGATCCCTGGGGGACTGATCCCATCCCCTTGTGCCGCTCATTATGTGACTTCTTCTCTTGTGACCCTTGATAGTTTACAAAGTAATTCTAATACTTGACAGGTAAGTCTCGCTTGTGGCTTAATCTTAGAATTTGGTAATTTTGGAAAAGTACTTGAATGCTTGCTTTCACACCATACAGCTCACCTCTAATATTCAAACAGCCTCAGTATAATCAGCTTACATGCCTAGAGGTGCAGAGACATTTTAAAAATTATTTCTAAGAGTTATTTCCTTTGGTCCTTACTTGGCAATTAAATGGGAGAAAACTGATTAGAAAGCAAATCTGAGGACTTTTAAATATTATGCAGTACATTAAGTACAATAAGTGCTTTAAAAGATAAACCATCCAATGTCATATATACAAGTTACATCACAGGCAAAGGCATAAGGAAACGGACTAAACTTGCTGTAACACTGACCTCTACAAATGCTCTATAGTAACCACATTGGTATGATAAGAAGGCAGTCAAGAACAAACTTAATTTGTCTCTAATCAATATGTAGATATCTGTATATATAATTGGTACATATAAATTCCAAGTACCCATATTGTTTCAATCTTATATCCATTTACCTCTCCAAAGTTTTTAAAGTAGCCACAGTGACACATAATGGAAAAAAAAAAAGGATGTCAGGCTTCCTATTAGGTAAAGTTATATCAAATTGTTTCACTGATGTTATAGTAGCTATTTCTGCAGGAAAATACATATTTTGTAGTTCTGGTCAGTTATTTTATCAGTAAACCTTAACTTCATGTAACAAAATATTCTTGACTCATTGGGAATTATAATACATGAAAAAAAGATTGAGAATTTTTTCTTGACCAATCATCAGACATGTTTTCATCTGAACGAGGGAAATTCTCTCAGTTTAATATAAGGTTTTCAATGAAACAGGGTAAATTTACAGTATAGTTGGTCATCTCATTCAATAAGTCTTCCAATCTTCAGATTCAGGCCCAGCAGAGAAGAGCGATGATTACAGGAGAAAAAAAATAACTCAAATAATCTCCTGTGGCCATCATCTTAGAGGCCGGTTTCCTTGTAATGATGCTTTCTATCACAAGTTTCCAGATTTCCAAGATCTGTGCAGTGTTCTAAAATAGAACTGCCTGAGGAAGATTGAGAAAGCCTTTGTTCTTGGGCTTACACAGTAAGCACTTTGTGTGATGCTTAATCACATTTTTATCCCGGACACAGTGCTTCGGTTCACATGTTTCTCGACGATGCTTGTGCTGGTTTGTGCTCTATAAACACAAACATGTTTACCCACAGAACACACACACTGACGCGGGATGCGCGGTTAGCCAGCCATCCATAGGCAGAAGGGAATAAGAATTGCGGGAAGAGCGGTGTACGACGCCAAGCCCAGGCAGACTACAGATGCCAGTCCCAAGAGTGCCGAAGCAAGAACGCTTCTCTCGTCACGAATAATTATCTTCAAGATCTCACAGAACTGGAAAACAGAATGTAAGAATGTCAGAAAAGGTGGCTAACACTAAGAACCACATATACCAAATAATAAAGCACAATTTTCTCAGCTATTTTCCCAGCTACCAGAGGAACTGGAATTTCTCTTATGACTTATGAAAGAATTTAGATGTCAATAGTTTAATTTCTTGATTCCACATCCCATAACAGCTAGCTGAAATGACACCTTTGGTAACTGAGTTAATAATGGTGGTTGCCTTTGTGAATGCATACCTTTTATAGAAAACTACAGAGACTGTAACCACATAAAAACTCAGGATTAAAAGCATTAAACTGTCAATCAATGACAATATATTCTAAAATTAGATGAGCAAAGAGATCTCTAATTTCAAGTAAATAAATTGTCCATTAGTATTGGTGAATTCAACTCCTACAATTAACCATTATAAAATTTGGTGATGTAATGATAACTTTTTAAATTCCTCTTTAAAAATTTTTTTGGTATGAATCTCAATATTTAAAGGCATAGAAAATCTAATTTATTGCCATATCCCATTCCCTGCCTAAATAAATTAATCAAGTTTACAAATCAATTATGAGATATAAAATTGGCTGCTGAAAAGATAAATATGATCCTTAATCCTAAAAAGTGCATTCTTCTAATATGTGTAATTTTTTTTCTTAGGAAACTAATTTTACTCAGAATTGATGGCCTATGTGTCAGCTGAGGATCTACCTCTTATTAGTTGTGTGACCTCAAGTAAATCACTTAATCTGTGCAAGCTACACTCTTCCTCCATGGGCACTGAGGCTGTTGTGTGAAAGTGCTCTGCAGTTTTCTCCATGCTGTATAAATGTGAGTGTTAGGACGATTATCATTACTGCCACACCTGCCAAAAGTCATCACCACCTCATCACTGTCAGAACAGAATTTAGCCATTAGTTGACATTTTTATATGAGGATTGCTGCTCACTAATTTTAAGCTCCTTTTCTAGACATGACATTATATATGCTGTTTAGGTCTCCTACAGTGGCCTATATAGTACTGGACTAGGCTTCCAAATTCTTAACAGATCGCATGTTAAAACAAATTGGAATTTTGCATTCCATCTGGATTGTAAGGTCATCTCTATCCATACTTTTATACAATAGCTAAATTATACAAATACCATGTTGGTCTTTTTTTAGAGGTCACACATATGTTTGTATTTTGTTGTATTTTGTATCCTTCTACTAAACTAACAAGACATCGAGTAACAAATACACAATCTTTAATTGGGAATGATGAAATTGAATAAAGTTTCAGGACCATGAGAAAAGCTGTGCAGCCAATAATGGGAAGATATGCATTCAGGTAAATGAGTATGTTGTTTTGATACAGTTATACTTTTCTTTCTTTTCCCCAATAATTTTTAATTAAGGCAAATAAAAATCACTGTGGACTCTTTTCCCCCAAAGCATATTTTGCCGAACAGCATCCCATTGCTAATGTCCCACTCTTGCTCACTTGGCCATCAGCCCAGGAGGCATCTTTTAGTGGCAGGGCTCAACCGTGGGCGATGTCTTATGTTGCTAGGGTTCAAAAGGCTATAGGAGCACTCTTCGAGTATCAAACCCCCAGATATTAAAAGGGGTATTTGCATTCATTTTTGGCAATGAAAAGCAATTTCATCAAAATAAAACAAAGCTAAAAACATAGTGGAAAAAGCATAAGGAATAAGTTACTAGTAAAAGAGTTTTATAGTTTATGAAACACTGAAATTGTTAACAGCAATATGTAGGGTGGGGTAAAAGTAGATTTGCAGTTGTGAGTGCATGAGTTTATGCTTGTGCTATTATTTATAAGTTATTGCATTATTTTCCATACAACAACTGTAAGCCCAGTTTTGCCCACCCTGTAAAAAATTCCTTAATTTTATGATTTCTAAACTTGTAAAAAGAAAAAAGAAAGAAAAAGAGCATCACTACAAAGAAGACTCTCATCCAGTTGATTTTCAAATTAGTTGCAGTGTTTTCATGAAGGAAACTGCTCTTGAAAGTTTTTGTAAACTCAAATTTAAGAGATGACTTTGCCACTCCAGTGTCGAGCTGGTGAGAGTTGTATACATGAAGAATTCAAAAACCAGACCCAGAACCAGGTAATTCCTCCCTGTTTCTGAGAAGCAGAAGCCAGTTCTCCTTCAGCACGAATGACCTGCTTCTCACAGGACATGTTCAAAAACAGTTCCGAGAAATGAAAAATTGGGATGGGGTTTCGTTTTCCCCAGGAAATCTACTCTGTGGCCAAATCGTTTGTTAGACCATTGAAAGTAAAGACAAAAACTCAAGTTTCACAAGAGGTGCTATGCAGCAACAGCAATTAAAATCCTTGTCTACTTCTGTAAAACCCTACAAAGTTTCCAAAGATGAAAAACTACTCCAGCTAGTTACTTGTGCAGAATAAATATTTTACTCCCTTAAAAAAGCACTTGTATTGTTTTTCTGTAGAAATATATAATACAGAACTATATGTGTTCCATGGTACAGTCCTAATTAACAGATAGAAATACTGTTTTCCTTAGAGAAGTGATTTGCTTGGTTTCTAAGTAAATCTGATATGTTTCCTTTTGTACATTTCTGGAACCTGTGTTGGTAAATGTGGTAAAGTTCTTTTCTAACCAGGCCTGGACTGGAGCTGTGATTCTTGAATCACTGCACAGCGCTCTAACTGTATTTTATTTTACTTACAAAAGTATCTCTAGATTCAGTTTGTTGTGGCTCTATAAATAATCACAAGGAGTTTCATACATCTATGTATAAAAGCATAATACTTTCATGCTGTGCCACAGAGGAGTGATTTTCCCACCTCAATAGATTAAAATATAGAACAATTAAAAAATTAGTTACATGGACTCATATTCTTTTGGTCAAAAAAACAAAACAAAACAACTAAACGTGAAGAGTCAAACGTAAAGTTCATTCTGTGATTATCTAGGCTTCCAACAGTAAGAGCGAACATTAACAATGCCTCTTTAACAACTGCAGGGCAGGCTGAGAAAGCTACTAATTGCAAGTGAACTTAAAAGCTAAGAGGTTTTGAACTAAAAATCCATTTCTCTCTCTTTGGACTTGTGGCTATCTTAAATTCTCTCTCTCTCTCTCTCTCTCTCTCTCTCTCTCTCTCTCTCAACAGCACACATTAAAATTACCTTCTGACAGCTAATGGCTCTTCTTGCAAACCAACTGTTTTTGATCTCTGGGGAATCCATAACCAACCTAACCCACCTTTGGGGCTAATGGGTAAAGGATGCTAACAATGAGGGAATCTGTAGATGGAGATGCAAATCAACACAGAAAAGTTCAAAATACCCAGGAAAAGATGTGTCTGAAGCCCAGATGTGTCTGGGAGTAAGAAGAGATCTACCAGGGAGGTCTCCTTACTGGGAATTTTGATACTTCATACCAAGCAAAGGGAATTAACTCACTCTTTGCAGCTTACAGAGGGAGGCCGAACCCTGCAAGGTTCCTTACTTTAAGGGCAAAACATTTTGTAAGCGGTGTTATGGATTAAATGTAAACTCTGGACACCTCCCTTCCAATTGCAATTCTTGGGAAAAGTTACAGTCACATGGCGGATGTGGTCATTTCAACTCCGCTGGGTGGACACCCTGACTGCTTGGGCAGCAATAACCGGGCAGCTCCCTTTCAACGGCGGGCAGCGGTACTGCACTGCCACACTCTTTCCCCGCGCCTTCGGAGGTGACCTGCAAAGCAGGCACGTCGCCGTTTACTTTGTCCGCCTTAGGAACACCAGAGCGCTCATTATGCAATCTATAACTCAATGCCTGATCCTGGCCGAGAGAAGTGGTTAGGGACCGGAGGGCGGTGCCCGCGGACACACCAGCGAGTCACACGCCGTACCTTGTCTGCCTGGGGACTGACCGCCGTGTCAAACCTGCAGTAAGTCACGAAGTGCTCGCAGTTGTTCCACAGCAGGCTGTAGGTAGTGATGCCCAGCTTCTTCTCCGCCCTTTGAGCCACCTCCTCGTTGAGCAGCGGCTTCTTATTGAGGGACTTGTCCAGGTGATTGACCAAGATTTTGCCTCCATAGGCAAAGTCATCCACTGTGTCCACTCGGATGCTAGCCACCCTGCCAATAACGCCCAGGATGAGACGCTTGTTGGAGACCACGTTTTTCGTGAGCCCCTTATCGGCCGTCAGGGCCAACAGGACGTCGGGCATCATGTGGGCGACCCGGTTGTCGCCCAGATAGATGCCATAGTGGGTCAGGTGGGTCCGGGGCACCTCCAGGACGTCACCGCGGTGGAACGAGTTGATGTCATGGAAACTGCTCCTCGCCTTGTCTTCACCCGGGGCACCCACACTGAAGAGCTTGAAGTTGTAGATGAGGAGCAACTTCTCCAGCAGTAGGGACACCGCCTGCAGCATCGGGTTCTTCATCCTGCTGGGAAACGAGACTCAGGGTTACTGGCGCCGCTGGAGCCCGCCAGACACGGGCGCTGCGCTGCAGCTCACCTGCAGGCCGAACGCCGCGGGGCACAGCGGCTGCCGCGGGGCACAGCGGCCTCGGAGAGAGGGACAGGAAAGGCAAGAGGGAGAAGCCTGGAGACTGGTGTGGTCGCACCTCTCTGGGGACTGAAGATGGGGAGAAACTGGCGACGGCTGACAGTGGGGACAGTGAGAGGAGCGCTGGGAGCAGCAGCAGAAGCGCACCTGGACTCCTGCGTGTTCCTGGGCGCAGGGCAGCTCGCGAAGCTCCGTGCGGCGGCGGTCTCCGAGACCTTTTAAGGTCGGCCAGAGGGCGGGGCCGGCCGCCGTCACAGACCCAGCGAGAGCGCTGATTGGGCGCGGGCACCGCCGCTGCTCGCGGAGAGGGGCGCGCGGAACCGAAACTCGGGGGGAGGGGGCCGGTAGCCCGGGGTTCTGGGGACTCCTTTCACACGGGCTCCCTCTTGCACTTAGGAGCTAAACAATTCGGCTTTTGAGCGACCATTTTGGGGGACCGTAGGGGCCGAGGCGTGGCCGCGCGAGAGGTTCTGCACCTGCCGGGACCAGGGCGCGTTCCCTGTACTTCGTAAAAGGTATCTGCGGAAAGCCCGTTCGGGCGAGATTTAGGTCCCTATAAAGGGATGGAGACCTGGAGACCTCGGTTAGCTATTTTCATTTATTCTGCGAAGTGTGCGTGCCTTGAAAGCCTGCGGAATGATTCCTTCCTAAACTCCGGAGCGCCGTAGCCCGCACGCCACGATCCTCCTCTGTAAATGACACGAATTCCCTTGGTTTCAGCAGGCGCGCGGGTTGGGTAGCAACCGGCGGGTCCAGATACAAGTTCCGCGCGCGCGTGATCAGAACCCCGGGCGCGTCCGCGCTCCGAGACTCCAATGACCGTTGAGCGCGCGGCTCCCAACGGTCGGTGTGAAAAAACGGCGAAGTCCCTAACGTTTTCCTGGAAAGCTGGATTCCTGTCAAGTTTATTTCTCCGGCTGCAGGGTTACGTGGACCTCGCTTCGTTTCACCCACCCAAATTTTGCCGCTTTCTTTTAAAGTACCAGGCTCCAGAGGTGGCCAAGGAAAGAGAAGGCGCTGAGTTCCTCCTGGACCGCCTGCGTCCAGAGGGTGGGGTCAGGGAGCAGCCGGGCCCGCGGGGTCCGGGAGCGCGCCGAGTTCGATTGTGCGCCGAGTTCCGCGCTAATGAAAGCATTCATTGTGCCAGCGACTTGCAACCTTTTCTTGATCTCATGGCGCACGTAATTACAAAGTTTCTGTGGCACGCCAAGATATGTTTTTTTGCCGATGTGAACCCCCCCCGTAGGTATAATTTTGATTTATTTTCAGAGAATGGCTTTTGTTGTGTTGGACGTTGTCATTTTTTCTTTACTTGGCGGTCGAAGGGAAAAGAGGAGAGTGATCTTGAATAAATAGGAATTGCATGTTTAAAAAATTCCTGGAGCACACCGGTTGAAAATCGCTGCATTATGCAAATGCGTAGATCTCGCGGACAAAGACCACAATGGAAAACCTCCTCTGGGTCCACAAAGCTGGGCAGTTGGAGGCTGGTAGGTTTCATCAGCGAGCCGATCCTCCGCCCGCCTGGGAAGGGGCTTGCTGCGAGTGGTGGATGCTGGGCCACTCCTCTTACCTGGAAGACGGCGGGGACCGCGGCGACCCTGCGGGGAGGAGGCCCGGCCTTTCCCCCGCACCGGGTCCTGCCATCAGCGCTCCGTCCCAGTCGTCCCGTTTGCCGATGTTCATTTCTCGTACGACCCCGAATCACGTTACAGTCCCAGCAAAGAGAAACAGATTCCATTTCCCACAAATGAATCAACAGAAAAAGGTGGAGAAGAGGAGAGAAGCAGTGGACATGGAAATTTAAAACCGTCTGTTTCCTCAGCCCCCTCCCCACCCACCCCCACCTAAAGATGTTAAAGTAAAGCGCCGAGCTATTGAGTTGTGAAACTAATCAACCCTCTCTGCACGTGAGCGCTTGTCAGTTTCCAGCAGCACCCTAGCTTAGCTGCAGGATTTAAAAATCGGGAAAGTTTTGAGTCTGATCGAGACCTCGGCGTGTGCGGCACTGCGGGCCCCACGTCGCACTCCTGGGCTCTGAACTTGACCGTGGGCTCCAGCTCGGAGAAAGCGCCGAGACCGGAGCCTCCAGTGTCAAGAGCCAAAAGGCCCAGACAGATCAAAGGAGACTTGGTAACTAGCGATTTCCGTCTTTGGTAGTCACTGCCAACGGGGTTTGTAACGCCAGCAACTGTCACCACCGCGGGACTCTGCGGGAGCCTAACGCGTGGAGAACCGACTCCCTCAAAGCGTCAACAGAGGGCTCTTTTAGGGCAAACAGTACCGAGGGATCACCTAAAGGCCCTTAGCAGCCGCGTCTACAGGGCGATTTGTGAGAGGCGGGCAGTGCCAAGGTGATTTGCCTCTGATTTTTCTTGCTTTCCCGGTGAGGTTTAACGTTGTTGCCACGGACTCTGGAAAGGGAGTCACTTAAAGAAAAAAAGAGTCCTGTCTGCTGGGGCTCCGTGGAGTGGAGTGAGCGCCCGCCAGCCAACCAAAGGGCCGGGTGCCAGACTCCCAGTCAGGGCACAAGCCTGGGCTGTGGACCAGGTCCCCTCTCCCCATCAATGTTTCTCTAGCACATCGATGTCTGATGTCTCTCTCCCTCCCGCCCCCGCCCTCTGAAAACAAAGAAATAAAATCTTTAAAAGTAAAAGAAAAAAGCAGGTGAAATCACTATGAGACATGAATCCTTATAGGTTACACAAGGTACAGACATTCTGCTATCTTTGGAGATGAATCAGGGAGCAGGGGTGTCTACGGTTTCTTGAAAGTTATGTTTGTCTCTCATAACTCCTGATTTTTAAGCCAAAATGTTATGCCATTAAATAATTTTTTTTCAATGAAGCTTCTCTCCTCTGCGGGAAATTAGACTTAGGGTAACCTGAAGGAGGCAGCCAAACATCAATTTGTCTTCTTCGGAACCTCTTAAACGGGGAGGGTTTGTGAGGATTATGCTACTTTTCCATCACAAATACAGTGTCAAAGGAGCGTGTGTTGGCTTTGCCGATTGCCGTCCCTTCCCCTGTTCTTCAACAAACGTGGTGACCTTGCAAAAGGCGAATTCTCAACGTTCTTTGAGTTGCATACATTTCTGTAGCCGAAGGTCAGTTTTCGATGGGTGTCTAGGGAAACACTTCATAAAAATATGTCTATACACAGAGAGGCTCACACTCCCACTAATAATTTCCTGCCTGCACCAGCTTTAGCCCAACCATGGGAAGACAACTGCTGTTAGAAGGAAATGCCCAAGAGAGACCTAACATTAGAAGGTTCTCCTTCCTAAACCAGAACTCTTCATTTGGAAAGAGGAGAATCCCCCTGGCTGGTAAAAAGACCTCTCACTTCCCATACTGTGTGAAAGGCTGTTAGTTCAGTTCAATAAGTTTTGATGTGCAGAGCTTTAAATGCACACACACAGCTCTCTGGGTCTCCAGGGCTCCAGGTCTGGTGATTCCGAAAAGAGCTGGGGCTCCTAGTCAACACATGCCATGCACTGAAAAGTCGACTCTCACTTAGGCCACCGCTTCCCTGGCGTTCCAACAGTACCCTGACCAGTGCTGCAGGCGCTGGCTCTGGCCCTCCCAGCTGCAGAACCTCAGCCTGGGGGCATGTCTCCCTGGTCGAGTGGTCTCTGCCCAAAGGAGACGGAAACTGGGGCTCTCAGAGCCCACTTAGCTTCTGGGCTTGCCCATCTCCGGCCACCGGTCCCAGGCTCTCAAGGACACGGTGCAGAGTCCAACACAGAATTCTTTTTAAAGATTTTTAAAAATTTATTTATCTTTAGAGACAGGGGAAGGGAGGGGAAAAGGGAGAGAAACATCGATGTGTGAGAGACATTGATTGGTTGCCTCTCACATGCCAACTGGGGACCTGGCCCACAACTCAGGCATGTGCCTTAACTGGGAATTGAACAGGCATCCTTTTGGTTCCCAGGTATTTAATCCACTGATCCACACCAGGTAGGGCCCTATGGACAGACTTTTTACCTTGGTAGTCTCCCTCTTCCTGGGAAGAGGCTTTGAAGTAGAGGATATGACCGTAATATTGTGTGCCTCCTGTGTGCTAAGCACTCAGCAAAGTAGTTTCCCACTTAATCCTCATAACCCATGAAGTATCATCTCCATTTTACACAGAAAGAAATTGAGGCTTATAACTCTGTTTCTGTTTCCATCACTGTGTCAGTGTGGATCACCACTCAGACCCAGGTTTCCTGTCCCCGGGGCCACCACCACTGGGGAAGGCCTGACCTTCCATCGGTTCAGACACATCATGTGTTCATTGATTGAGTACCTGCTGTACACCAGGGGCCCAATCCTGGAAGTTCAATGAGATACCTAATCCTAAACTTGGATCCCACACCTTTTTAGACTTCATTTTGCTGCTTCTCAAATGCCAACAGGTCTGATTTTTAACATCAGTTATTTTATTGCAATAGAAAGGTCTGGTTTGGTTAACAGTATACCCTCACCAGGAAGTCCCCAGCACTTGAGTCACCAGTAGTCCAACACTGCCCCCAGTTAGACACAGGAATCTGGGGCAACTCCATGTACTGCCCAAGGGCACAGAGTCAGAAGAGAGCCCAGGCTGTGCCTCAGACGTCTTACCTGTTAAGACCTTTCTCCCTTGGGTCCGAACCCTGAAATATTTGCTGTTCTGAAGTTATGTTTTTAAATTATTGCCCTCCTTTAAGATGATTTTGTTGTTGTTCTTAGATTTTTTTTTATTATTAAATCATTGAGCACATAACAATAATCTTAACTGTTTTCCTTCTGTTCATTTTTTTCTTCAGTTCATTTACATACACTCAAGTCCGGCCCCAGGGGCACACCATAAACAGAGGCCGAAACTAGCTAACTCTGAGGAGGTGGGGGAATAAAGACTTGTGAACTTCCCTCTGCAAGCAGAGGAAAAAGAAGAGGCTCCTTTTTGTGGAGCCTCCTAACTCAGTGCTACCTGGGGTGTTAGGCTAACACGAATCAATTACCTCCTGGAAGGAAGACTTCCCCATTTCCTGGTTGGCTAGCACCTTATTCCGAGGGCCTCAATCCTGCCTATTGTCTTTGGAAAGGCTGAAGGCTGCCTTCCAGCCAGGCAGGAACTACTGTAGCTGGGGGATACTTTTTTCCTCCCAATAAAATAAAAACACTGGGCAAAACAAAGAATTTACATTTAATATGAAAAATCA